GTACCATCTACTCTTGTTATAGTAGAAGCCATAGCCTGACCCGACAGTATGGATGCAATATCTCACAGGTGAATGAATATTTTAAATCTTACCCAAATACATGTTTACAGCCAACTTTTATGACTAATCTTCTTAAAAATATATGAGTATTAGTTAAAAGATCAGTTTACATACATACATGAGTGCAGTTCTGAGATCAGTTTCATAGTAGAGATGGTGAGTTGCGGAGTGACAAAGAGTTCTTCGAATTAGTCTGTAGATTCTATCCCATGTTCCATACCAGGGTAATCAAAATTAAATGGAGATCACAATCTTAGAGCTCAATGCTTCCTCCAGTAAAGCATAAGCAGATTTGAGATTAAAAAGGATCAGGACTCAAAAGACCCCAGGCCTTCTCTTGATGGAATCAAGTCCTTAGACAAACAATAGGTAATCACTGAGACTTTAAAGTAGGTCTATTTCCTAAGCATTTCCTGTTATTAACTGCAAGGATTAACATAAGGCAATCACCTATTTTCTATAATTTTTATGTGGTCTGCTATATACTTCAAAGAGAAATCAATATAGTAATATTATTAATATTTACAGTTCATTTAAATGTTAATTGAGAGATCAAAAGGTCTTAACAGAACACAGCATAGACAGGAACAGTTTGATGACATTGTAAATCTCCAACAATATATGTGTAAACACACAAACCCACCAATATCTACTATTATAACTCTAGAGGTTGAATGTGGATCATTTATTCTACAAGATGGCCTTTCTGGCCATGTGTCAGAGTGGGGTTTGTTTTTAGTTTTTGTTTTTAAATTTGTTCTCTCATCCTCATTCCTGGTTAATGAGTTGGAGTTAACCTCTTCTGCGTAAAATCAGTACAGGCTGAACCTCTCTAGTCTGGCACCCTCAGGACCTGACTAGTACAAAAAAAGAGAATTTGCTGGACCATAGGAGGTCACTATTGTTTAGCAGGTTTACCAACACTTCCACTGTGTACTGGGCTCTTCGAAGACATTTACGGCATGTCTACACTAGGAAATTATTTTGAAATAACTAAATATGAAATAATAATTCTCCAAATAACTATTTCAAAATAAGCTTGTTCTTCAAGGAAAGCAGGAGTACAGATTTTGAAATAACCAGCCCATTATTTTGAAATAACGGGCATGGTAGTGTGGATGCTCCACTTATTATTTCAAAATAAGGAGGGTTATTTCAAAATAACTCCCTAGTGTAGACCATGGTTTAGGAGTAAATTAGAGCTAAATAACAGCACAGAACACTGAGAGCCAGGGCTGGTGGCTGTAAACAAATTTTTAGTGATATAATCTCTCTTGTAATTAGTGTTCTTATTTCTGTGACTACTTTTATTTTAAATTGCATTTGAATACTCAGTGGGGCTCAGCTGACAGTATTTCTAACACTGTTGCTTCGTCTGCCATTCCAGTTTTCATACCCACAAGCTAATCTTGGAGCTGCTAATGTCCGGTCCATCCTGAAGACAAGTAACACTATGATTCTTGTCCTAGGCATGAGTACCCCAGTTGAACCATCTACTGAGAGCCTTTATCTCCCCTTACATAAGAACTATGCTGCCAAAGCAAATGTTTATGGAACTCTATTCTGTGAGGTCCTAAACACCCATGCCCCCATCTCCTACTGATTTCAGTTAGAGCTGACAGTAGCCAACACATTGCAGGAATCGGCCCTATGACATTGTGTAGATAGGACTTAGAGATTTGCTAGCTGGATTGATTACCCACCAGAATTTTATACCATGTTGATTTTAGGCAACTTTATACACCAGCATTATACACTTAGCTAATTTATTTGTAATACCATAGCACTTACAGGCCCTAATCACGGACTATGACCCTGCTGCGTTAGGTGTTGTACAAATGTAGACTACAAAATGGTTCCTGCTTTGGGACCCTTAAAGTCTAAGTGACAAGGAGTCCTGTAGCACCTTATATACTAACAGATGTATAGGAGCATAAGCTTTCATGGGCAAAGACCCACTTTGACAGATGCATGCATGTCATGCATCTGACGAAGTGGGTCTTTGCCCACGAAAGCTTATGCTCCTGTACATCTGTTAGTCTATAAGGTGATACGGGACTCCTTGTCGCTTTTGCAAATCCAGACTAACACGCCTACCCCTCTGATGCTTAAAGTCTAAATAATACTCGTAGACTTTATGATCTACTCTGACATCCTCGACATCGCAGGCCACAGAACTTCTTCCTCCCTCTCCCTCTTAGCCACTCCCGCCCTCCCGGGTGCAATGCGACCACTCTCCTCTCCATTGGTTTCAGTGTCTATTGGGAGTACAGCCCTGTGTATGAGAGGATTGCAATGTCTAACCGCAGATTTCCACATTCACAGCTACACATGTCTCTCTGTGGAAGGCTCTACCCATTACTCCCCTTGGAAGGGTGTTCCAGAACTTCGCTCCTCAGGTGGTTGGAAACCTTTGCTTAATTTTGAGCCCAAACTTGTTGATGGCCAGAGAGACTCTGCCCCAGTTCACAGACTCACAGAATCTGTGATCCTTGCCTTTCACTTCCATGGGAGGAGGATTAAGCCCATGTTTATGCAACAAAACCTACAGCAGCACAGTTCTCCCATTGTGCATCCCTGATCCTCTAGTCAGGAGACTGCTTATGGAAATTCACAAGCATCCTGCCTCTCTAGTGCTTCAGAGAACATCACGCTTGCTTCCAGGAACAGAGTAAGCAGACTTGAAGTCACTTGACATGCCTTTGAGCATTTGAAATGAAGCCAGATCAAAGCAGAATAATCTTCCATGGATAGTGGTATAAACCTATTGCTTGAGGTATTTAACACTGCACTGTGCAAGTCAAATAAGCCATATATACACATATACATATATATAGACATGTATACACATATATATGAATATTTCCAATTCTCAAAAAATCTGAGACCCTTTCATTAAAAATTGGTAGGTCTAATTTTAGTTCTTGCGTGTATCCTTTTTAACAATGTTTTTGTAGTGTTAATTAAGTCTCTTTGTAGCTAATTACATTGCTGCTTTATTGCAAGAACTAATCATTTTATAATATTCCCAGGAAATAATAGATGTTTCTAATATTCTTTCAAAATATCAAATTAGCAACACCTCAGCAATTTCACTATATTGCTATAACTATGTGACGTTAACTCAGAGGGTATGTTAAGTTCAAAACCATAATGTGGAATATGCTTCAGGTTATAGGCGTGTGACACTACTTATCAATATGAATACACAGATAGAAAACTATTATATAATTTTAATTTGCTAAAGCAACTTGAATGTATAGGAAACAGTTTGTGAAATCCTAGTCCCGTAGACAGTGGGAGTTTTGTCCCTCACTTGAATGCAGCCCAGATTTCATCCAAAATGTTTTGGAGTCAGAGAATGATAGTGACAAGTGTGAGGAATTTCATTTTGATGTATATAAAACTAGGGTTAGTTTTAGCTTTGTGGTTTTAGACTTGTGCTTTGCCAAAACAAAAACAAGATCCATTTATATTTGAGTCCAATTTCTCCTATATACCCAGAGTTCAGGAGTATGAGCATATAGGTTTGGTTTTAGCCCATTTCTATATGAATCATACATTAGCAAAACAATAGAATGATGTTAGGTTTTGCATAATCGACCTCCCTCTCCCCCCAAAGTTCATGAAATAATAAATTCTTCTGATTAATTCGTTTTTTCTTTTTTAATCTAGTAGTTATTTTGATACATTTATGTTTTAATTTTTATTTCTTCATTCCATGTGGTGAGAAAATACAACCATTGGGAAGGAAACTACAATATATAGATTACACACAGATGAGGCAGCCAGCTAGTATATGCTAATGTAGCCTCTGAGTAAATGCTATGTACTGGACTATAGAATGGCTGTGTTGGAAGAGACTTGTTTTGTTTTATAGTGATATCAATAAACTGACTCATATGGGTGGGGAATGGAGGACATGCTTTTGGGGTTCTCACTAAGTAAAAAAGGAATATGCTGTGTTAATCAGAGACAAGTGCATCTACTTGATACCATGTCTTACAGCAATGATCTTGAGCAGCTCACGCAGGTCTGGTGAATGGTTCTGTGCAGTGTCCCTTCAGTAGACACAATGACAAATCTTTATTGTTAACCAGCGTGAGTTAGCATTGGCTAACTCAGGCTCCCACTCTTGCAATACTCAAACATTTAGGCTAGTGCTTAACTTTAAGCACAGATGTTTGAAGCCTCAGGAGCCCTGTTCGGCGTTTGATGCCTGACAATGTGTTGACAATGCAAATATTCCAAAGGATCCTAGAAAACACGAGACAATGGAGCTTATTCCAGGGAGGGGAGAGCAAGGGAAGAGCAGGGAAATGTCGTCATCCTTCTGCTGCCCTGTAGCATGTGGGATTTGTAAATGTTTCTATCTACAAGGTTGCTAGTAGTAACCTTTCTTTATTCGTTCAGCTGGATGTGCAGAAGCACTATGAGCAAAGTCTTTTCTCTGTCGCCCATCTATAGTCTGAGTCTACCCTTAAAGATGATAAAGCTACAAATCTTTAAATGCTTGTAAATGATGTCTTTGGACAGATTGGGGTGTAATTGGACAGGACTGCACTAGTGGTACTGTAGCACCTGTACATAGGTTACTGAAATAAATAATAAGGTCTGTGACAAGCAGGCATCCTGAGCCCAGTCGCTTCGGATTTTTAACTCAATGTATCAATTTACAGGTTCTGTTTTTATCCATTCACATGATGAAATGTCATAAGCAGAAGCAGTGAGATGCTGACTTCTTACATTCGGACTCAATATGTTGTACTGCAAATAAGTCCTGGGATAGAAACACTTCATATTTGGCATAGAGTATTCTCCAAAGATTCTAAAAGTAGGGATTTAATTGTAGAAACAAGTGTGGTGGGATTTAAATAAATATTGTGGTTTTCACTCACAGTAACAGCTGTGTTTTTTGTTGTTGTTTTTTTCCTACGCAGGAAGAAGGTATAGTGAAGGAAATAGACATCAGTCATCATGTAAAGGAAGGTTTTGAAAAGGCAGATCCTTCACAATTTGAGTTGCTGAAAGTATTAGGGCAAGGTTCCTACGGAAAGGTAATTTTCTACAGTGTGTAATCATTCAATGGACCATTTTGTGTGTAGGAAAAACCTTACCTTAATTAGTGAAACTTTTCCTGTGTGAATTATACAATGACAGAGGTTTACAATGCATACGTTCAGTGTGACTGTATACCATGAGATGACAATATTAATGCATTTAGCATTCCATAAAGTCTGCATACTACACACATTCTTATAATATGAATATCTATTTTAACTAGAGCCCACAGGAAAAGCCAGACTGGTTTCTAGCTATGCTTTTGTCAATGTCCAATGGAGCCTGGGGCTTTAGCAGAAGCTGGCACCTGATCTGCCAGTGGCACACTGAAGACCCTACAAGAGTTGCTTGTGCTGTTCTTATCTATGTTTTCCTCCACATAATGTCTGTGATCCTTGTTTAACTTTATAGTGTGTGGGTTCCAACTAGTAGCCATGACAAATGGTTACTTGGCAGTGCTGCTGGTGCTCCATGCCTCTAGAAACCTTATTTAGATGCTTAAATAAGGACTTATGTATCTACAGGCAACCACACAGACTGAAGGAATTTTGACAATTTTGTTTGAATACCACTGTACCTTGTAAGAATAATAAAATACATCATTTTGCAATACAATGCATTTTTGTTCCATTTCGCTTTCAGTTTGATGGCTATTTTGATGTCCTCTAAAACAGCACACAACGTTCCTTGACTCATTTGTTTTGGAAGGGAATGTAGACCAACTGCAATCTCCCATGCTACATAGAACAGCTGACAAATGACTAATAACTTAAGCTGATGATTTTTCTTATTACAGCCGTAAGGATATTATTTGGCTTTGCAAGGTTATATAGTATAGTGGAGGGGGAGGGGTTCTGTCTAGTACTTGAAACCATTCTATATCCTTACTGGTATAATATGCTGTGCTACTGTAAGCATGGAGCCTCTTATGAACCATTATATCTAATAACGTCCACTTTATTAGGAGTTAGAGCCCATGCTGACATGTAAAGGTGAATATCAACTCTGAAACTCCTGGGGTTTAACTAGACGAGCTTACTGTGATTTTTTTCTCTGTTCATGAAGTTTTCATAAACAGACTTGTATCTTTACAATTTTATTTGTATGAAATTTTACAATAATGATGCACACACCTGTGTCAATTTCTGGATAATTGAGTTATGTATTCCAACTACATACTTAGATTGTCAATCCTGAATAATGAATCCCTTAGAATGGTTTCTTCTCCCTGAGTCACATGGCTAAACCTTTTTAAATGGACTAAATGTTTCTGGGCACAAATAGAAAATATCTTGTTTTCTCACAAATGCAGCAAGTTATGTAAAGAACAGCCATTCCCCAGACATTCATCTGAATAGCTGTTCAGAAATCAAACATATGTCTGCAAACACAATTACTGTTCGATCAGCTTTAACTGGATGTGTAAAGAACAGCTAGTATTATTAAACATGTCATCTTCATGAGAGGGCAATAGGGTACAAAACAAAACTTACAAGGAACAACTAAACCACGTGTGAAGAAAAACTAAACACTTTCAGCTATTATTTTTTTTCTTTATAATTCTTACCATCTCAGTATCCATTATTCCCACAAATTCAGCAAATGCTATCCTCTCAAAGCACAGTACATGATTACATAGTAGATGTCTTATTTTCATAGGTATTTCTGGTGAGGAAGATCAAAGGATCTGATGCTGGACAGCTTTATGCCATGAAGGTACTTAAGAAGGCAACTCTGAAAGGTATGGATTACCAACTGGGCTGAAAACACTATCTTTCTTGTACTACAAAGTTTTGATTGTGATGTCTAGGATTTGTAGGCATAGTTTTATAGGATCTAAGAACACAAAAACATGTTATCAGCTTCTGTCATGCCATATCCTCATTACAGACTGGACGTACTAAAACTTTGCACTTTCAGTGCAACATTGTGACTTTAAATAATTGCATCCAAAATTTTGCATTGCCAAGTTATTTGCATGACAAAATAATAGATGAGGAAATGTTATCTAATAGCACCTACAAATCAGGCCATAGGTGCAGATGTTCTCATTTGCACTTGCAGGAACTAGCAGACAGTGTTATTTATGGTGACCAAATGAGAAAGTAGGTCTGAAAATTGATCCCTACAATTTTTACATTAAAAATGTTTTTATGGCTGTTTAGCCATTAAAAAAATGCTCAGTATTGTCATTATCGCTAGAAGATGCAGTTGTATTTTGTGTTCATAATAACTGAAATGCTGAGGCAAGGAGAGCAGTGCACTCATTACTATGAAAAAAGGAAATAATGAAGGGAAAGAAACTGTTGTTCAAGCTGTAATAGATAACATAACTCAACCTGAGTAGTAAAGGCAGGCTTGGTTACCATTATGGAAAAATAAAATGTTGTTCTGTTTTCTCATTTTATTCTTGTTATAGCTGTGATTGAGAGAGAGTTCAGTAAGTCAATTCAGTCTTTTTTTTTTTTTTTTCTTCTTTGCTTGTCATACAGTTTTGGGAGCCAGAAATCAAATAAGGATTTTGGCATTTTCTAATTCTGCATGACTTACTCACTATTTTGATAAGGATTATACATAGTACTTCTGGGGTTACTTTTCATTCCCATTGGAGCATTGGCATCTCTGTTGTTGAATACTGTCATGGGGTGGGAGGCCAAGTATGGGAGCAGAAGCTGGGTTCAGGCAGGAGCTCCTTCCCCTTCCTTTGTCAGCCCTGACTGAGCTGTTCCCCTGGCTTTTATACTAGGCCTGCATTTGGAGCATGCCCAGCAGGGCAGTGGAGGAGGGGCCCTCTCGGCCAAGCAGGCCTGGTTAACCCCTCCCGGGCCAGTGCGGGGTTGGTACACCCCATCACAAATACATTTAAATGTTTGTGAAGAGCAGAAAATAGCTCACTATTGGTACAAAGTAATAGTACTGAATGATTCTCATTATATATTTGAAAACTCATGAGCTTAGCCTTTCAAGAAGGAAAAGTTATTTCTGGGTGCCTAACATCTGTCAATTTGTATGTCTACAATCAGTAGTAATTGTAGGTAATCTTGATTCTAGTTAACAGTACAGTAGATGTCAAGTGGCTGATGACATGACACAGCAATCCTCTTGCAAAACGGCAGATAGAAAACTGAGCACTCATATAGCACTTTCTGACGTCAACGCCCTTTATAAACATTAATTACAAGTGCTGAAGCAGCTGCTGATCTTTCAGTTTAGAATTTATATAGAAGAGTTTGCACTACGCTATTTTCCTGGAATAAACATCCTTCTAAATATTTGATTCTCACGGATAAATATTTGTGCATGTATATGCATGTTTATAATGGAGCAAATCCTCAAGTCCTTTTTCACAATCAAATTCTGCAGTACCTCAGTGGATCAAAACTCTAAGTGTTCGCCACCTGTAAAAATTATTTTTGTCCTGTGAGAAATCTGAGGAAAGAACACACAGCTTGTTACTATTTTGAACCCACAAAAACATAACCTTTCCTGTATGAGCATTTTATTTTTTTACATCCCCAGATAGATGTGTAAGGTCCTTGGATCATGAAGGACCTCTATGCAGCACCAACCAAGTATATGTTCATCAGCTAACAAATAATAGGATATATTGTCTGCTGTATGTTGTGGCTGTGTTTTAGGCTTTGGCTACACTTGCAGTTGATCAACACAACTTTTGTCATTCATGGTGCTTAACCCTCTCCCACTCCCACCACCACCATCAAAAACAAAAGTGTTGCTGTGGCAAATGCAAACGTGAACATTCTCCTGCCAACAAAGCTAAAGCTGCTCGTGGGGCCAGAAGTGTTTTGTTGGCAGAAGTACTGACAAAAACCATTCCCATACATTGACTTTTAGCAACGGGGCTGTATTGACACAGCCTTGTGGCTAAAAGCTGCGTAGTGTAGATGTAGCAGAAGTCCCAGATATTAGAGAAACAAGGTGGAACAGATTTGTTTAGCATAAGTAGCTAAAATACATGTCAGGGGGCCATTCAAGATGAAGTGCCCTGTTAACACCTTTCCAGTCATGGAAGTAGAGGGTGAGGTTGTTAGCAGGTCACAGAGTGATGCAAGAAACCATAATTCCAGTGTCTGTCTTCAGTCTGTGATTTTTAGTATCCAGCAAAAAAAATTAAACTCATCGCAGGCTAGTCTTTTGAAATTGGTGTGCAAGCTTATTTTGAGGATGAGGGCTCAGAGATCAGATCCATGGGTGGTGGGTATTAGAGGCACAGCCAAGTGTGGCCTGCTCACACTCCTCCCCCAGTTCTCCTCCTGCTTCTAGAGAGCTCTCTGTCCATGGCTGGACTCCCAGCTTACCCATGCTCTCGACCCGGGGAGGCTGGGGCCAAATTGCCCTGCAACCTTGCTCTCCAGGGCTGGGAAGGCTGGGGCTGCACTCAGGAGCCAGTGGCCAAAATGGAGGGATTGGGGGCAGAGGTCAGCAGCCACAAAGGGGACGGGGGGAGAGGGACTGAGCTCAGGTGGGCATTGAAGGAGCAGGGCTGGAGGCTAGCATTCTCAAGCCAGTTTTTCACTCACTGCCCATGGTCAGATGAGTGATCACTTTTGTTAAAAGTATTGACCCCTAGGTAACATGATTTTGTGTCTTACTATGTTTCCGTGCAGGCCTGCTGATGGAGTGGGAAGGGGGCAAAAGGGACAACAGCTCTGCGGCACAACAATTCAAAAGGGCCATGGCTTCCGGCCACCACCACTGTTGCTACTGTGATGGTAGCAGCAGCCAGAACCCCGGGCCCTTTAAATGGCTCTCAGGGGTTGGGGTGGCATGCTCCAGGCAGTACTACAGGCTGGGGGGGAGGGCATAGCATGGTCCAGGCAGTGCTTAGAGCCAGCTGCCCCCAACCCTGCACCTTCTGCATGAGGGCCCCCTTTCCAGAAGTATGGAGCCAGTCTCCTCCCCCCTTGCCCAGAGGCTTAGCAATTCTGTTGGCCCCCCGGTTTCTGTGTGAGTTCCTTTTGAGAAGGTAGTAATTGTCTGGTTTTACCCACATTGCTGTTGGGGTATTAGTGCACTGAATGTGTGGTGCACCACATGGTGTGACACGCAACTGTAAGACACGTGCATCTTGAAAGATGTGCCATGGAAGATGTTGACCTTGTAGCTGTGGAGCGATATGCATCTGTTCAGGCAGGGTCTCACACTGCTTTGAGTTGGCATAAATTGGTTCTGAGGAGCTTGTTTCTGGTGATGAGCTTGGAAGTAGAGGGTGTAGTTTGAAGGCCAAGAGAAATTCCACAGAATTCTACATTATCTCTCATGAAACCTCCCCAGAGGCCATCTGCATGCTTCCCAAAATACACAAACGAACCCAGGGACACCCGTCATCCCTGGTCTTGTCATTTACAGACAGAATATTGGGACTTTTAGAAACCATCCTCAAACTACTCTTCACACAAATGGCCAGCTTCCTCCAGGGCACAATCGACTTCTTCCACAAACTCTACAATTAATAGCCTCCCTCAGAACACCATCATTGCTACCAATGACACCTCCCTATACATCAGCATTTCTCACACTGATGGCATCACTGCCTCCTGCCGGTCTCAAATGTTTACAAAACAATGGACCACACTCAGTTGTCTATTCCAAACACATTGCCGAACTCATCCACTTCATCCTTGCCCATAACAATGTTATCTTCAACACTAACTGCTTTGTCCAAACCCTGGCAATATGCCAGCCTCTTCAGTGCCCCACAAAAGCAGTGATACACCTGCAGTGCATTGATCATCATTTCATCCTCTGGACATGTAACCTATGTCTGCTTAGTTTGGCACTTTGTCCCCTCTAGCAGCACCTAACCTGGCTAGAGAGCAATGAGTCTGCTACAGGCTTGACTAAGCGCCACATGGCAGTAAAGGCTCATATGCTAATTGTCAGAGGTCTCAGATTCGATCTTACCTGCAGATGACTGAAGTCTATTGGCATTACACACAAGCTACCTGGAATCCAGACAACTATATCCACAAGACCTATAGTTAACCACACCTACACACCAAGAAATCTGTTAGTTACATCCAGGCACTTGGTTTCCCCATAAAATGCTTCAAGGAAAAGCCCAGAATATACATCCTAACACACTTGAGATATTGCACTGGAGAAGTAGACTGCAATATGCAACTGGCCACCCAGCTACCTCTAGAAAACCCACTTCAAAACAGAAATAAACACTCCTCCCTCTGACCACACACCCCTATTTGTTATCTATCACCCCACACTGGAACCCACAAGGGTATCATTAAACAATTACAACCCAAACTTGATGGAGATGCCATACAGAAAGAAATGTTTCCTGAAGCATCTCTTCTGACATTTAGATCTCCCATTTCTCCCCCAGCTTGTCATCAGAAGCAAGCTCCTCACAGATAAGGGCATACCAGCCCAACAAAGCACCTAATCCTACCAGAACAAGAGGTGCAAAACCTGTAGACAAATCTTCACGGCTAAGTTGACTAATTCCTCTGCAACACAAAACACCATTTTAAGATCCATGCATGGTGTAACTCCTCCAGTGCACTAAATGCCCCAATAACAACAATAGAGTGATATGAGGCAATGAGCAAGTTCTCGAAGGAATTCCCACGGAAAAAGAAGAGACCAAAAACTTCTTGTCATCCTGTGGGGGAGCACTTTTTTCACAAAGAAGTCAAATATGCAGTGATCCTCCCCCTCAAAAGAAACCTGAACAACACTTTCAAAAGAGCAGCCTGCAAGCTT